CTACTACTACTACCGCTACTACTACTACCGCTACTACTCACTGCTTACTACTACTAACTACTATTACTACTAACTGCTACTATTACTACTTATTACTACTACTGCTACTTACTACTACATTATTATTATTTATTATTATTATTTATTATTATTTATTATATTTCATGAAAAAATCTGGGTCTTTTTTTGATTTTCAAGTTTACGGAAAATGTTTTTCTTTTCTTCAAATACTGATCAGTTAAAATTTGATGCTCCACATGTGTTGCCAATAGTTATTTATATTTACTTTCATCGCTAGTATGAATTAACTCTTTGCTGATTGTGTGATGTTTTAAATTGACAATCGTTCCATTTATTAGTGTATTTATAATGTTTAAACTTTTCATTCATGTCTAACTGCACTTATTCATTTAAGTATAATTACATTTTTGCACTAATACGTATTTATCTGACTGTATCACTTATCAGTTAATTTATCATTTTTTTCAAATACGAATTTAAGATAGATTTAACATGCTGACTTTGGATAGAATTGTTTTAGATTCATTGAAAGCTAATTTTTTCTACTGGCTCTTCAGATTATCAGGTGTTTTAATATGAAAAATTCGTTTTTAAAACGTTGTCGTTTAATTTATAACTATAGTTTGTACTAGTGTTCAATTTTTAATTTTGATTTATGTATTTTATAAAGTTTGAAAAGAATTCAGTTTAATGTTCAAGTTTTGAAAATATTACAAAATTGGTGATGCATGTGTTACTTTCTCTAAGATCTTGTCTGTGATCTTAAATTTGTGTAAAAAAACACATTCCCTTTTATGCTTGATTGACAACTCTTTCAAAATCCTTCCAAAAGCCAATTTTTGTTAAGCAGACAAAATAGTTGGTAAAACATTTGACAAATTTCATTCTTTCTTTTTTCTTTGTCTTTTTTGTTCAAGATTGAAATTTATTTAGTTAATATAAAAATTTTCCTTCATCTTTGTCATTATTATAATAGATTTTTTATAAAGTTTGAAAGGAAGTTTGCTAAGAAACCGTTACGATGGCAGCGACTTTCTTGTCGTTTTTTGTTTTTCTTGCTTTATGTTGCGAGAATATTTTATTATTAATACTTCTTTTAAAATTATTTTTTAGTGATAGAAGTAGGAACGTATTCTTCTTTTACGCCAATATTTGCACGGAATATTTGGAAAAATGAATCAGCCAATATTGCTTATTGCAATGGCTATAGGTTTGTGAAAATTTAATTTTGATAAAATTACAATTTTTTAATTATATTTGATGTCATATGCCAAATAGAAACAATGATTGAAAATTTTGATTTCTGAAATGCTTTGAAAAATACCAAGAAATTATTAATCATGTAATGAAGAAGAGATTAATTAGAGCTGTTGATCAAGCTAAATAAGATTTATTTTATGTATCATTTTTCAGGACAGAGTAATAAGCATCAAAAGGAATCAAAAAATAACTAGATAAATAATCAAGTAATGTAATACATTTCAACTTAGGAAAAATTGGAATCATTGTTAACAATGTAAAATCGTCTTAAGATAGACGAAATTTAAAGTAGTAGTTTTATATAAATTAAAATGAAGTTTTTGAATCATGTAACAATGTTTACATGTTTATAATGCAAAAAAATGATGAACTATTTTTTTCTTGTAACATGTAGATTTTCAATTGCCTCCAGTCACTAATTAAACAATTAATCAATAATTAACTTATGAGAATGAAGAAGAACAAATATGGTTTATTTGTAGCTCAGTTATATCAATTAAGAAAAAAAAGAAGAAAATTTGTTTAAAGTGGTAGTGGACAGTAAAGATCTATCAGTGGCAGTTATTGGTGAAGGTGCTGCTGGGGCATCGTCAGCTTTGGCGCTCATCGAACGTGATCCAAGTCTTAATATCACCGTCTTTCACAATGTACCATTTGAACAGACTGTTAGTTTTGGTCCTGCTGGCTTATTTCGAGTTGATACACTTCAAAACAGGTTTGTTTCAATATGGCTAAAAAAAACACATTAAAGAATTTCTTAATTGTCCAATGTCTCAATTTTCATCTTTTCATTTTTAGTAATAATAATCACTAGTTTTAAATTCCTTCATTTATAACCTTCGTTCCATTTTTTTTTATTCTTTTATTTTACCAATTATTATATTCTTTTCTACTTCTTTTCATGTAATTCGTCGAAACAATTAAGTAAGCGTGTATTCTACGTTACGTGACAATTTCAATTGTGAGAAGGAAAAAAAACAGTATCATATGTGAACTAAGATCCATATGAAAATCAGTTCCAAAGTTCACTTTATATTACTAAATGAACAGCTTAAGCAAATTCACTCAACTAATAAAACAGTATTCAGTTTATCTGCTGCATATGAAGAAATAAGTTTTTATTTGTTTATTTTGATAAATCAATTTAAAATTTCAATTTTGTGAGAAAAAACTGAAGTTTATGATGTGTGACATGTCAAGCTGATAAAAGAAATTTTTCCCTTATGAAATGAAGGAGCGGGGAGTAGGAAAAATCAAGAAATTAAGAATAAAGAAATAGCGTCCACAAAAAGGAAGAAAGATATATAGAAAGAATGGCATTAAAGAAAATGAAATTGATTGCAGTTTAAAGTTTTTTTTTTAAATTCGTTTTAGTTAATCCACAATTTTTTGGTACATCTTAATATTGAAATGTTTTGAATATTATTCATTACTTATTAGCATTGTAAACTTTTCTTGAATTAGTCATTTCATTATTATTTTTAATGATTAAGGAAAAATTTTATGAATTTATTTTTTAATGAAAAATTCTCTGCTTCATTCTTTTTTTATTTTTTAGAGCTTATGGAAAACGATCATTTCGTCGTTATGCTAAATTGTTTCGCGAGTACGGTGGTGAAATATCTGGTGTTAATTTATTATCAGGGCATATTTTATCAACAAATTTGACAGAACTTGTTGAACAAGTTCCGTAATTTAATTTTTTATTGGAATATATCAAAATTGATTATTTTTATATGCCTAAATTAGTTCTTTTTTCGAAAGGTACTAAGATTTGTGCTTTTTGGAATATGCCAAAATTGTTGCAGTAAATTTTAGTAGGATTACTGAAATTGTTTTAAAGGATGAAATTTATGGTGATACTGTCTACAATTTTCGTTATCTTCGAGAGAATGAAATGCAACAGTTCGCTGATCAAGGTGAAAATGATCGTATGTTTGCGATTCATTTTACAACATATACAACAGAAGGAGGTAAATATGTACCGTGGATGAAAAAGCAATTACTAGCAAAAGGTGTACGTTTTATACAACGTCATATTAATACAGTTAGAGATGTAAGTTTCCATTTTCTCTTTAATTATATTTATATTCTTTCTAAATGCTATATATCTTATTAGACTAATCTGAGAATAAATGAAGAATTTGGTGTGAGAAATTCCAAAAGTGATTTATTAGTTTAATAAAATTTAAGCTGAGGAATGATTAATTACATTTTAAATTTGTATTTAAATTTGGATAATATGACGAAATTTTTTTCTTTTTTGACATAGCATATAAAATTGACATTATTCTTTTATCCTTTTATTTTATTAGTTTTCTATTATTTTGTTCCACTATTATTTTTGGTTTATTTGCTATGGCTAAGGAATTTGGTTGTAAGTGATAAAGCAATCAAAACATTTGTAAAGGTGATATACATATTAAAATGTTTCCAAGACTATAATGTTATCATTTTTATGTTTACTATTCTTAAACTGATCATTATGATGCAATAGTTAACAAATAAAATGAAGCTTAAATTAAGTGAATAATAATAGATTATTCATAGCTCTTCGAGGAGTTTGATGTTATCGTGAACTGTGCGGGATTAAACGGTGGTAAAGTAGCAGGTGATGGTGATCACAGGAATATGTTTCCGATACGAGGCATTATATTTGAAGTAATGTTTTAAGCGTACTTTCAAGAAAATCAATTCACATCTCTGCTGGTTTTAAATTAGTGCAATATGACGAAATGAAATAAGGAATTTTTAGTTCATTTCGTAAAAGGCTTTGAGTGATTTTGGTCCCATAGTTTTTAATTAACTTAATGTGAAACGGTGTTTTCCTTCCTACTTTAATTAAAAATATATTCTGTCACACTTTTTTATTAATTGTTATTTCCCACACAATATTTTAATTATAGAGTTAAATTTTAATAAAAGAATTAATGGTTTGTGTAAATAATGGGACATTTCTGTGTCATATGCTTCCTCTTTTTTCTAAAAAAAATCAATTTTGTAACAAAACAGCCTAAAAGTATATCGGACATTTGGATAAATGTGAGAGGTTATTTTTTATTCTTCGCTTCAACATTGCATGAAATTATCACCTTCATTGCAAACAAGTTTAAATTTCAATACTTTATTATATTATTTCAGGTTAATGCAACATGGCATAAACATTTCCTATACAAAAGATTTGATACATTTTCTATACCAACGTTAGTTTCTTTTTCATCCATTCTTTGTATATTTGTTTCTCGATTATTCAAATATACCCTATCCTAATTATCATACTTCTCTATCACTGGTTTTGTGTTCTCAGCACGGATAAAGTGTTCATTGGATCTGTGAAACAGGCAGATAGATATGATCTTGAAATTACGCCCGCTGATCGGATTAATATTCTTAATCGGTACTATCGATTGCAACCAGCAATTAAAGTATGAGTTACATCAAAATTAATGGGTTATTTATCGAAATTTTAATAGTGGAAATTTTATGGAGCTTATAGGGCATTTTTTGCTAATATGGCATTTTTTTGTTTCTTTTTATTTAAATAATAATTTCTGAAAGTTATGGGAAAATGTCTCTTACATTTTCGACGTTTCCTATTTTATTGAATTAATTAATACAGATTTTCTAATGTATTAATGTAAGTTTTAGGAAACAAATTTAATTGAAATCTTATTATATTTTATCCAACGGGAAGCCAACTAAGATCCTATACTATCGCATTCGGTTTTATCTTATTCACTTTCGCTCATCACGGTATAGTTAACCAGGAAAATTGCTGAGCTCACTGAACTTAGTGTACTATTACACATGGTAGCCGTAGTAGTGAGATACACTTGATCGAATCCATTTTAATGCTTAATCCACAAATAGTAAAATTAATTAGCAAAGTGCTGGATAACTGATATTTCGTAGGGTGCAGCTATTCTGAGCGAATGGTCTGGTTTGAGACCGGGTCGAAAGGGAGGTATCCGATTGGAAATGACAACAATTCGATTCTCAGCTCCGAAATTAAAGGAAAGTTTTAAGGACAAAATAGTCAAGGTTCGTTGCATCATCAATATTGAAGAAGTTTAAATTTTCGTAAATTAAGAATGCTGGCTATTTTATCAGATATCTTTCAATCTTCATGACATAAGGGACGTGATTGTCAGGTATAACTGCATCTGATCCATGTCAATATCTTCCATAATATTGGAACTTAGTAATTAATCTATAGCAGTCATTCAATTATCGATTTATAAGATAGATTACTGTTTAAGTTAATTATCAAAAAACAATGGGGAAGGCATATTACCAGCTTCCCCAGATGTTGCTTCAGGTTATGTAGTATTCAGTGCGGATGACGCAGAAAAAACTGCAGAGCAGGGCAAAAAAGTAGTTTTGATAAGATCAGAGATGAGATCTGAACTGTTGTGTTGAGGATCCAAGATTATCTTATTTTATAAAGGTTTAGAGTTGATTTTTTAAATAAAAGTTTAGGGATTTAAATCGAGATTTAAATCCCGTAAAAGAACTGCGTTTTTTTTCAGATAGTACACAATTATGGTCACGGTGGACATGGCTTAACTTTAGGTTGGGGTTGCGCTGAAACAGTTGCTGATCTTATTTTAGGCAGCAATAGCAGTGTTAACCATGAATAGGAAATATTAATCGATAATGTTTGTACATTGGGTGTTTGTTATTGTTATTATTGTTGTATTATGATAAGGTTTTACGATGAAAATGGTTTCGTATATAAAGTTCGAAGCTTTAAGAAAAGATATACAGGAAAAGAGGGTAAAAATAATGGGACTAATGATTCAAAACTCTTTCCAAAATTTATCTTACTTTATTTGATATCTCCAGAAAAATGTTTAAAAGATAGTTGATAATAGTATCATCAGTCTAATAATTAAAATATGTAAACAGAATAAAAAAACATATCAAAGATGAATAACCGTTTTGAGAATGGAGAGATTATAAAACAAAAAAGATAGAATGAAGAAAATTTAAAGAAAACAGCTCACGAAATATCCACTTATGAAATATTATGAATGATCGTACTCAGAAAATATCATCTCTGTGTCTTTCTTTTTTTGATTTGTTATGTTTTATGCCAAATAAAGTAATGATTGAAGTGGTTAACAATATGCTTTGCATATTTCTCATTCGCAAATGATGTTGATATGATATGTTGTCAAGTCAATATTTGCTGAGAAGTGTAATCATTTTTCATACATTTCTGTTATTAATTCGATAGAATATGATTTTAATGATAATTTTTTTTCCAAAAATTATTCACATTAAATAATCGATAAATGCTATGTCCGAAAATTTTTATCAAGATCATTTTTTTGGGATTTTTGGAATGATATTCAAAGGCATAACGTTATAACCACTATTAGTTTTATCATTATTAAGCTATCAAATACTCTATTGTTAATTTTTCGGGACTTTTTTTAATTCTTTTTTGTTGGAGTTTGACCTTTGTAATAATATAAATATGATATATTTGAATAATGAATGAAAGATGATCAGCTATGAAAATTATCGATTATCGATAATATATGACCATTTTTACAGTAATGGATAGGATAAATGAGATTTGTTCAGTAAACGAATGGTGTGATTGTACTGAAACAACAAAATTGAGTCATATGAAAGAATCAGTCTATAAGGTTTAATTACAAAAATTGGTTTTTTATTCTGTTTAAAGAAGACAAATATCGAGTATGATAAATATTTTAATAATAGAAGGGGGTAGAGGAAAAATAGATCGATGAGTTAGTTAGTGATTAGGAAATTTACTGACTATTACATCACATACATCTCGTGAAGTTACTTCAAATGTCAGTTAGGTATTTCATATTCTAATAAAAAAATTGGAGATTTGAGTCCTACATTTTATTAAATTAGACCAAAAGCATTTAGTTAAATATACTTCCCTATGCTTTGTTGATGTGATGCGATATAGTACTTGTAGTTTTTCAAATCTATGACCAATTGGATTTCATAAAGTAAAAACAAAAGTAAAGTTTATAACTTATTGTTAATTTAGAAAAGGAGGAAAGTATAAGATTCTCTTTTTTTCAGGAAATAACATTGTGTGACAGAGAAATAGCAAGAAGAAAAGAAGAGATCGAAAGTTACAAAAAGATACAAAAACATCTCGAGGATCTCCCAAAGAAACTTGCACATAATGTTAACGTAAAGGAATTTTTCCCATATTTATTGAAATAATGTTTTCTTATAATTTTTTCACAAGTTTTTCATAAATATTTACATGCTTGAATAATAGTTTTACAAAATTATGTTATATGCTACTAACAATGTTAAAATATCACGTGAATTTTCTTTTTCATTGTTATTAAATTTACATTGTACATTAGGTTTTTTCAATTGTAGGTTCCATTGGGTAAAGCGGGTTTTATGCCTGGTCGAGTCGTACATACCAATAAAGTAATGGTTTTACTTGGTAATAATTATTTTGCAGTATGCTCATGCTTTCATGCATGTGAAATTATTGAGCGTCGAATATCCCGTAAGTTTATTTGTCTTAAAATTATTTAAAAAATGGTAGTTTTCACCCTTATTTAACCATGAGCTACTTTCATGATCATTTGTTATGCAGTGCAATTAAATTATGCGATTAAGGCGATAACAGCAATATTATTGCGCAGCTGTAAAAAAAAATTTGGAATACTAAGAGCTATAATATTAACTAGCTGCAGTTAATATACGTTGTTTATTATCAAATAACAGAATAAAATTCGTTAGATAAGATTTATTTGAAATTAATTTTCAGTTATCCAGAAGAGCATCAACGATTTCGAAGGACAGAAGAAGCGTGCGTTAACTCAAATGAAGTTGGGTAGTGAATTGTTTGATTTGGTAAGCTATTTCAGGATTGTTTATTGACATTAAAGACTTTACAACAAACTTCTGCATAATTATAGCGCTAGAGAAACTTGCGTGCTCATTGAGATTTTTACAACTTGTGTATACTAATCTAGTAATGTACATATTTCTGTGGTCTGCTCAAAGTTTCTAAAATAAGTCCATCTTTTTTGCTTATAAGTTGTATTTACAAAGCAAAAAAAAAATGTCATTTCTAATTTGTTTACAGGAAAGGGAACAAGTTGAAATACGGGAGCCATTTGATGAGGCAAAGTATGAGGAAGAAAAGAAGTGTAAGTTCCTTATCGGAAGTGATAACCTTTGAGTGTAATATTATCTACCTTTTTTATGTGGAGTGTGAAGCAATCTATATATTTTATGTGAATTTTCAATAGAACACTTAAACGTACCGATACATTCATAAATGTTATTTACTAGTAAAAAGCAATAAATATTATTAAATAGAGTTACCATTGATAGTGATAATTTTTGACAATTTTATTAAGACAAGCTTTATTTTGAAAATTTCTTTTATTCACCAAGTGATGTAATATTTAAAAATCGTTTTCCGTTTAAGTGCATGATATAACACCACAGATTATTGCTTAATTATTTCCCTTCTTACCAGAATGTAATGTTTTAGTTAGGCGTACGCATAAAAAAAATGATGTACGGCGAGAAAAACGGGAAGAAAAATGCAATACTGAGGTGAGCAATTATTTATTGAAGGCAAGTTGAAGCATGAAGCTCGAAATATATCTATCTATTAAAGTGAGTAGCACTGAAAGGTGAGCAACACAATTTAATTATCAAAGAACTTTTGCAATTACTTTTGTTCCATATTTAAATAATTTCGAAAATTTATACCTCAGGAAGATTTCGAACAAGAAAGCGAAAGATTGAATGACATGAAGAATACAGCTGAAGCAGTCAACGAATTAGCGAAGTAAATATTTACAGATTTCTCATTTTATTTTTCTTCATTGATCACCGTAGCAATAGGTTTAATGACTGTTCTCTGTTGTCTTATGTTCGTTTTTATTCAATCTCGAGTTTCTCTTTTTTAATTGATATACAATCAAGTTCATCTGATTGAAGCTTTTTTTATCAATTTAATGAGTAGTCTGTTTTTTCTGTACTAATTTTTTTAGTACTAAATATTTGTGCACAAAAACAGATGAGAAGCTGAGTGAAGCCGAAGACTATAAAGAACGATTTAATGAAAAAATCGGAAACTTTCCTGTGGTAAAGCAGAATTTTTTCTTTATCATCTGTCAACTAAACTTTATAAATCATCTGTTTAAAATTGGGAAATTTTGTTTTCTGGAGGCGTTACAGATATCAAGAGTTATTTTCTATCCTTTTAACAGAATGATTTTTTATTTAGAAGAAAATGCAGTAGAGTGGTTTAAAATTTAGGATTATCAAAAATTGCTAGAAAGATTGAACGAACTTGAAAGACAAGAGGAAGAAGCAGGTGAATTAGAAAGCGATTATAGGTGAGCTATTTTTAAATAGTTTTTGTCCTGCAATTATCTTTGTTATGAATGGATGTTGAATCGTTACCATGATTCAACATTCATTAATTACATTACAACAGTTACGTATGTGGTGCAAGAAGCTTGTGCTAGTGCAAGTAGCATGTATTGTTGTCAACAGGGAAATAAAGTTTTCAATCATCAGGGAATATAGCTTTCAATCCCGCCATGTGTCTATTAACCTTCAATTAGTAACGGCTTTACTTACTAACTCTCACGAGCTGCAAATATTTATCGTAAAAGTTTATTAAAAAGGAGAAACATACGTAAAAGGAGAAACAATCATTGGTAGTTAACTTAAATTATATAACCGGTTATTTGCAAATATTTTGATTATAACAGAAGGATAATGTTTATTTTGCTAAAATAATTTTAAGAATTATTGAATTATTAAATCTATTCATTTTTGCTTTCAGTTGATTTTAAGTATGTTAATTCGATTGTAATTTCAGCAGTAGTCTTGATTCGGACGATTTTCCCTTAAAAAATAAAGAAGCTACAACTAGTAACAATTTGTTGGAAGAAATGCAAGAAGTGAAAAGGATGGAATCGATGCATAATGAAAAGGAAGGTATTAGTCAACTAGTGTTAAAAGAAGCGAATAATGAATCGCAAAAAATACGGCGTACAGTTCGTTTCAAGAGTGAAGATGAAGCTTACTCAGCTAATACAACACCAATTTCATCGCCGAATTCAGAAATACCGCTGCATGAAAATGAACCGAAAATAGTAAGTAGACTTTTCTTGCTACTGTTAGTTTTTTTCCTTTATGTTAATTTCGTAAGATTGTTGTATTAATTGAGTTCTCGTAAATTTCGATAAGCAAATGATTTCGTCTTATTCATGTGATTATATTGGAAGAAAAAATAAAAGGTAAGTAACACTTTAGTGTTTGTTATTGAAATATTTGCAGATTATAAATGAAGATCCACGTTTCTCATGTTCTTTGCCACGTTCCATTTTACGTAATTTTAATGAAAAATCTCCAGTTGATGTCGATGCTTTAGCTGCTGCTGAATTAAAAAATCGGAAGGAGATTGTACCGATTTCTGAACAGGTAAATATATTGCTGTTATAGTATTTGGATTTTTAAGTTTCTAACAGTTTTTAAGTGAACTGAATAGTATCGACAGTTATATAATGATATAATGAAGTTTGTCATCTTAAAGTTAGTTTTAAAATGATTAATTTCATGTAAATTTAACTGCATACCTTGAAACATTTGTTTGATTAGGCATTTACGGGTAAAGTGTTGGAGAGGCATCTACCTGTTGATAATGATACAAAAGTCACCGAATCAACACCAGTTATAATGCCTTCGAAGGTTGGTTCACCTCGACGAGTTTCACGTTTTAAAATGTCTCGCGCCTATCTGGATTAGCTCTATCATTATATTAGTTGCGTAATAGATTTCTGCAACTGTTTGGTTTTTGAAGTATAAATGAGTTGAATTTTCTTCTTTTTCTTTAAGCGGTATTGCAAACCGCAGTATAAATCACATTCATACTCGTGAATATAAAAATTTTCGATACAATTTAGCATTTTTGATGAAAGCAAACATTGGCTGAAAAATAAATTATCGGATGAAATTTTATTTTATTTTCTAGTTTTCATATCATATACTCAAATGGCTTTTAAGCATAATTCAACTTTTTTATTAAATTTTTATTCACCCCATTCATATCTAACATAAACACTTCGAAAGCTGACAATAAAACTCATTTAACGTGAGGAAGAAAATTTATATTCAAAAATTTTTCACATCTAAATGTGATTTTATCTCATCTTTATAATATGTTAATAAGATCGAATTGATCGTGTTATTTTAATATGTCACCAATCAGTGCTTGACTATTGATAGCATAGCTATTTGATTAGACATGATCAAACCTTCCGAAGTAAAGTCTTCGGTCATCTCGTCTTAGTCACCTTACCGGCTGTTATCATAATCCAAGTTGCATGTTCCTTCCCGGTTTGCTTCAGTATTAAAAAATATTTGATCTGCTGGTTCAGTTTGAATATCGGTTTAATCACTTCTGATACTACGAGCTTTGGTAATTACATTATGTACATATTTTTGTTTACGTTCACATAAACAAGCGTTTCATGTTAAAACGTGTTCATTTTCACTTCCTAATTGCATCATAGTATCATGGAATTTAATTTCCAGAATCAATTCCATTGCTGAATTCTATTTACTGTGACGCGAATTCTGTGTCTCATGTACGTATGCATCTATACGTATAATAGATGTTTGTCAAGTTGGTATATTTGGTATATTGAAGTTGGTATATTTATATTATATTCTGTATACAATTTGGTATACAGAATATAATCAGCAGTAAACGTACGGCAAAATCAAAACAATAATCGAAATGAAATAACAGTAAGAAAGAACAGAAGAAATGATTTAAGTAGCGGTATAAAAAAAGTGAAATACAAAAAGAAAATGGAAAAGAAGGGACTTTTCAAGACTACTCAGAAAGATATTCATTATACATTTCCAAAGATATCTTTTTATTTACATTATGGAAAAATTACATCACATGACGATAAGTTTCCAATATCGAAAAGCATTGGTTACTCTTTTCCACGTAGATTTTAATCCTTTGGGAAAACTTGTTTGCCCGCTGAATTCTCCAAAGTTTTGTTGACATCTAATTAAAAATTCATTTTATAGGATGAAAAGATCGAAAAACATTTTTATTTTTCAGGTAAATTTTTTGCAATATTTCTCAATATTTTTCATGAAATAGGTAGCATATTTAAACATTCCACATTTAATAATTTTTTTTCGGTCTGATTTTGTTTTTGAGAAACGGGCAAATGAATTTAAGAATAAATTAATTTATCCGTTAAACATATTGAAAAATCATATCTGCTTAACCGGAATTAATTGGAAATTGATGAGAATTTGGATAATTTCAGCTAAATGAACAGATGACAAAAATTTTTAAATTTGACCTAAAGAATAAATATACATAGATATAATTATATTTTCTTTTATAAGTTAACAATAAAGTTGAAAAAGTTTAGAGAAAGGAAAGAAGAAAGAATAAAAGGAAAGTCCTTGGAAGGAAATAAGTTAGCAATAGGAACAGTAAGAAGAGGTTGTGTCGGCATCGAGAATGATACCTTTACTGTCACCAAGTGGCATTCGTGTGTGTTTTACCGATTGTTGGATTCGTTGCATAACCAAATCCAACAAGCAATCCACCGATTTTTCTACATTTGTTGATGAACAGGCGCTCGTCTCAAAATATGGCAATCTGTAAAAAGGTGATAGTAGAAATTATTTCTTTTATAATAGTATTATAAATTTTATGCATTTTGATGCTAATCATGATTCCTTTTCAATTTTCATATTTATAATTTCGAATATATCATAAAATTCTCGGTCCAAATCGAATTAATTGAATATTAAACAATTCTTTCAATCTCATATATAATTGAAGATGGGATAACAAATATGCGGTAAATATTTCTGATACCAAAAAAGATAATATAATTTGGGATTTGACTGAATTAGTTAGTTATTTAGCCATTCAACAAATGTTTCTGAATTTACAGCCTTACATTCAAATATCTCTTACGAATCGAAATTTCAACAAAGAATGACTTTTGTACTTTAGATGTTGTAAAAAAGGAAATGGAATACGACAAACTAATAGATGAATGGAAAAGATCACAATAAAAATTGTGCATGTGAAGTTTAATAAGGTGATCATTTATTCAATGTCAAAATGGAAATAAAATTAAAGTGAAGGAGGAGGAAAAATTGTCATTTAATTTAAAATAACATCATTCATTATGTGAAAAAGAAATTTTGAGACGGAAATTTCCAATAAAATTTGAAAAATTTTTGAATTGATGCATTCTTTTCCACCAAATAAAAATGAAAATGTTAGATAAGTGGTCGAAAATAGGAAAGAAGTGTTGATAAATTTCTGGTCTTCACTGAACCAATTAGTAATGCATGCATGTATGAGTTGGGTTCTTTGATATCACCTTGTGATAAACAACTTCATCACTAATTTTCTTTTTTTTAAAGGATTTATAAGTCAATGAAGGGCAACAGGATCAATTAAACTTATTATGCTCATCTTAGTTAAATGCTTGTTATCTATGGGCTAATTTATCTATAATTTGTAAAATGGATCATATCCTTTCAATCTACAATCATGATCCTGAAAATGCGGGCTTCTCATCATTTATCTCATAACTCAGCGGAACATCTGAATGCTCATTTCAGTAGGTTGATAAGAAATTATTATTCAATCAAAATGAAAGGGGAAAGAGAAAGAGAAAAATAACGAGAGATAAAATGATCTTCTTCCGAGCAACAGTTTGCAAAGGTCGATAAGACGATATATCAGATGTTCTGAGTCAAAGATTCGAATTTGTATTTTCGTTTATTAAACCTGAACTAAAATCTAAAGTTAGTCAAGATGTTCGTGAACCACCGCTCATATGACCAATTTATTAAAAGGTAATGATTAATAATGAAGAACGAAAAAAACGAAATAATTAACAGTAAAGTAATCATTAAAAAACAATTAATAAAGAATAAAGTAAAGAGAAAAATCAGTAAGAAATATAAAGGCAAATTGTTAGACAGATCAATAGTCAACGCTTATATAATAAAACGGCACATTAGGTTTATCTTAATTAGCATTATGGAAAGAGATTTTAAAATTATATGATAGTATAACTTCTCGAAGGCATATTAGAGAGCAGGCATACATCGTATCAATATCTGATAGAAAAAATAACAAAAATAAAACTTTTCGTTTTTTAAAAAGCTTAAGTTGAAACTGGGACGCTTTTGAAAAAAAAAGAATGCCTATTGGAATACCCCAACTGATCAGCAAGCTGTTTAGCTCGTGCCGTACTAACTTGTCTTCTGTTTTCCAAATCTGATTTATTGCCACAGATAATTATATCCGGTGTTTCACAATATGCATGGATCTGCAAGAAATATTTCTGAAATTTCAGAAATGAATTTGATTAATAAATTCAACCTCTCCCTTTCTCTAAAAAAATGCTATAATAAAAAGAAAGTAAGATGGATGTCGTTTCTGCTGGTAATGCAAGATTTTTGAATTGCCGCGAAATTAAGTTAAGGAATATAAATTAAATTAAATGTGCACTTTTAACTGCGATAACCAATCTCTAATATTTAGGAATGACTGTTCGTTCGTAATGTCAAATATAAGTATGAAACCCATTGCGTCACGAAAAAATGCTGTCGTAAGGCTACGAAACCTAAAAAAAAGGTCATCATTTTTTTCCTTTCAAATATGTTTCAATTTCAATTTTTTACCTTTATAATCTAAAATAAAAAGAAAATTTCCCACCAATAAGTTGCGATTCTATCATAAACTTTATGTCACCCAGAAAATATTTGAAATTAAATTAAGAAAAAAGAAAATATTTCCTTGGTGATTATGAGTGCATAACAAATTTTAAGAAGAAGTAATCAACCTTTCTTGTCCAGCTGTATCCCATAGCTGTAATAAAACACGCTGTCCCCTTCCACCGTAACCTCCACGACCACTTTTGTACACCTTAACGAAACTGTTAAAATTACCATAATTTCTTCCTTATTCATAATTCTATTGAAAATCATACACTTACAACTTTCTTTTCTTTGAAGTCGATCCCCACGGTTGATATGAATTGACCAGTAAATGTATTATCCGTATATCGATGCTGAAGCGAATGAGATGATTGGAAAGTATGAGAAGTATTTTTATGTTACAAATTTGTATCATTTCTTCTTCCTCTCTTTTTTTGACGATAAAGATTTAAGAATAATGGAAGGATCTTTATTGATAACATTATATCCTTCTATCAAATATCAGAATAGGAGACTTCATCAGTGTAGCATTAAGATTTATTAACAACAAATCGACTTAGTAATTAATAATGTCAGATGATAACTGTGAAGGATAAGAAAACTATAGTAATAATAAAAATGATGATAATTGTGTCGATGATAATAACTAAGGATCTGTAATAAAAAAATGAAAAGATATGGAAAAATAAGATTTGTTAGCAATAGCTTTTTCTACATTTTGTCTTGATTAAATGTGTTCAGCAAACAATTTTCGACTAAATTAAGATTCTAAATTACTATTCAAACATATAAGAATAAACTACTGTAAATAAGAAAAAATCAATTAAATAATAAACAAAATATGCAAATATGTACATATATACCATCAATGAAGATAAAATAAACAAACCAAGAAAGAAGTTTTGCCAACTCCAGAATCACCCAAAGCCAAGAACTTGATAAGATAGTCGTAATCACCCATTACCACTTGATGAGCTAATCACCACCGTCAAAACAACAACAGTAATAACAATAACGACAATTTACACCTATTGGTGGCAGCTGAATAAATGGAAACAAATAATAATAAGCATTAATATTGCAAAAAAAGAAATAAATAAACGTGGAAATAAGCAATTAAATAAATAAGCAAATAAGTATTTTTAATATTATGGAATCATCGATTTGTCAAATGAATATATTCTAGCCCAGTCCATTTTCTAGCTGCTCTCATCGATGCCATGTCTTTAGAAAAGCTGATGGCATGTTGTTAGCTTTAGCATTGGGTAGTTAGCAACAGCACACACCAGACTATGCATGGGAGTGTTTCCCTTCTCTAGTCTCAAGCTTGGACTTATTTTGCAACCCTTTCAAAGGGAAAGAATTCTTCCTCACACACATACACACACACATACACACACACATACACACA